TGCAAAAGTTTTTGCTTGGTCACTACACTCGCATTTACGGATGCTGGCCGCCGCCGCCGCCGCAGCAGCAGGAAGAAGAGGACGGCGAAGACATGTGGTTCACACGGGGCGTCACGCAGGCGCTGCAACGCGATTTTGGGGCACTGTACGACTATCTGGGGAACCGCGACATTGTCTGGAATGGGTCGGAGGCGCGCGCCGGACGGAAATGGATCATGGTCAGCGAGTCGGGCAACCGTGGGTTTGATGCGGATGACGCTGAGCTGCCCATGACGGACATTCTTGTCGAGTTCGACAACCGAATGCGCTTTCCGAGGATCCCTCACCCATACCCACTCGTGCCAGAGTCGATCCCGGCGACTGGCGGCGGTGGAGGCGGTCGGGAGGGATCGTCATCCATGTTCAAGAGCTCGCGCAAGTCGACGGCGTCTACTTCGAGGGGTGGAGCGCTCGAGAGGCGAGTCCAGCTGGCGTACACAGAGGCGACAAATATCTACATTCTCGGCTCGGAGTTTACGCATTCAGATCTGATCGATGGCTTTGTCAAGTTTGAGAAGACAGATGCAGTGGGTGAGGTGGATCCTGCTGTCGCGAGACGCGGACGGTGGGTGCTCGTGTACGGAATCCTCCAGATTCTGGCAAGCATTTCGGTCGATGCGCCGGGAGTACGTTACCGCGATGACGTGACGTATCATCTGTCGGTGCGACTCCGCGGAGCCAAGGTGCCACCGTGGAAGGGCGCCTCCGGGTCGACGTCACAGGTTCGGGGCATGGAGGAGGCGGCGCATGAGCTGTCGCACTGCTGGATCGTGCCGCGTACGTGGAAGGGCGAAGATGACGGAGGGCCACCGTCGAGCAGTGGGGCAGAAAGCGAAGGAGGGTCCGACAACATGAGCCCGGTCACTGCGAATGGGCATTTTATCGGTATCGGCCGGGCCTGGGGGCATCCTCCTGGACGAGCAACACAAGACAAGGGACACCACGGCATGGGACGGTCGCCGCAGTCGTACGCAGGAGGGTACAGCTCAGCTCCGAGTATCACGAGCGAGAGCGACGGCGGAATGAGCCGGGCTTCGAGCAGGATGGGGAGTCGTTATGGAGGCGGTGGTCCCTCGAGCGCGGGGTCGCAGTATGACCGGGCCGGCGACGTTGAGCCGCAGTCAAGAAGCCGAAGACGGGACCATGGCGATGGCGGAGCGGGGCGCTCTTCGCTGGCCGTCATGTCCGGAGGCAGCGGGAGGGACGAATACGGCATGAGCTCCGGGCGGTCGCCGAGGATACGGGATTTCGACCTGGATGTGATTGATGATGCGGAGCCGTAAGCTAGCCAGCCGTTCCTGCAATGTTGACGTGTGTCATGTTGAGAGGACACTGCCTGGCACATGCGGCCGATGGAGCTATGCGCTGGGAAGTTATGAGGAGCGGCTTGCGCGTTCCATCTTGTACCAAAAGATATATACTTAACCCTAATGCCAAGCGAGTTGAGTGTGGAAAAGCTGGCGAATTGTGATGCTGTTGACGGTGCTGCTCCCTTGATCGTCTGCCAGCTTGGACTCTCTCCTGAGCAACCCACAACGATACATGCGACTGATCGCGAATCTTCAGACGTAAACTTACATGGTAGTTGTTTTCGTATGTACGTGACAATGACAGACTTGTACTCTCTGTCTTTGACAGCCTATTACTCTTTCTTGCCTGTTTCTGGGTGCCCCTGATTCACTGCGTGTTCCATATGCCTAGTGAGCAGCACGCAGTGAATGTCGGCAGACAAACGGCATGAACGTGAGTGAATGGATTGCACATCTATCTGTGGCCTTCTCTCCTATTTATTGCCTTCTCTTCTGTTCTTTTCGATCCGTCACGATGCAAGTCTCGATCATCTTCCCTGGTCACTTACTTTGTGGCAGCACCAGTCAACTTGACTACTACCTGCTGCCTCTTCTTCCGACAACACAGGTATCACGACACCTCCGCGATCTCCACGATGGACGACACAGTCGACCTCGCCGAATACCTCTTCACGCGCCTCCGCCAGATGGGCGTGGGCGCCGTCCACGGCGTCCCGGGCGACTACAACCTCGTATCCCTCGACCACGTCAAGCGCGCAGGCCTCCACTGGTCGGCAACGCCAACGAGCTGAACGCAGGCTACGCCGCCGACGGCTACGCGCGGCTCAAGGGCGCCGGCGCGCTCGCCACCTCGTTCGGCGTCGGCGAATTGTCCGCCCTCAACGCCGTCGCCGGCGCCTACGCCGAGAGGGTGCCCGTCGTGCACGTTGTCGGCACGCCGTCGCGGGCCGCGCAGGCGGACGGCGCGTGCCTGCACCACTCGCTCGGCGACGGCAACTTTCGCGTCTTCGCCGACATGTACGCGTCCGTCACCGTCGCGCAGGCCAGGCTCGACTGTCCCGCGACGGCGCCGCGCTCGGTTGACGAGGTGCTGCGGGCCTGTCTTGTCGAGAGCCGGCCGGTCTATATTGAGCTGCCGTCCGATATGGCCGCTGCCAAGGTGCCGAGACCAATGGCAGTGACCGATCTCTGGACTTCGACGACTTCGGCGGGGTTCTGGGTTGACAAAGCCCAAGTGTTGTGTTCCATGATCGCCGAGGCAAAGAGGCCCATGATTCTGGTCGACGGCTTTGCTGCCCGCTTCCATATCCGAAAAGAAATTAACCAGCTGGTCCGGATTTCACAGATCCCGACACTGACGACACCCTTCGGCAAGGGCATCGTCGACGAAACGCTGCCAGGCTACAAGGGAATGTTTTGCGGTTCGATGGGAAATCAAGACCTCCAGGACTGGGTCGACGGCTGCGACCTGGTACTTCACTTTGGGCCGCTCCGTTCTGACGTCAGCACATTTGGATTCAGTGCGCGAACAAATGCGTCCGGAACTCTTATCTTTGAAAAGAACGCAGTGAAACATGACGAATCTACGAATCCTTTCCTACTGAACGAGGTATCAGCAACAAAGCTGCTCGTACAGTACACCGTGGAGATATATGAAGCGTGCATAGGGATCAAGACGTTTCCGTACCCCCCCATCAGAAACCTCCCAATGGACCTGTTGAAGAATTTACCAGCACCAACTGCCAGTTCGCCGGTGGACCAGGAAACCTTTTGGCTTCGCGTGTCCCGCTTGTTCGCCCAGGCGACATCATCCTCACCGAAACGGGAACAGCCTCCTACGGAGGACAAGCTTCGTCCTCCCAAAGGACACGATCTCATCACTCTTCCCTCTGGCTGTCCATTGGCTAC